TATATATATAGATGTATAGATATAGATAAATAGATGTATGCATGCATGTAAAAGAATAGGAGATCGAGCATGGTTATGTTTTCTTGCCTAACTGTGCAGAATGAATCATGAATCAATCCCCAATGGTAAATTAATTTATTTAATTAATTATTTATTTTTATTTTATTTTATTTATTTATTTATTTATTTAATTTAATTAGGACCGGGAGCACCAAGCGGACTGTATGTACAACATTGACTCTGTGCAGCAAGATCCCTCCTCTATAAATATTATTTATTTATTTATTTATTTATTTATTTATTTATTTATTATGTATATAATTCAACAAGGGATAATACAATACTAATAATAATATATTACATTATACAATCCAATACAAAATACAAGATAAATATAATATAATAAATATATACACAATTATATAATATAATAAGAATCCCTGTAGTTGAACTATAACTTGTATTACTACTTGACAAATGTTATATATATAGACAGAGAGGGCAACTGCTGTGCTGCTGCTGCTGCTGCGCTGCTGCTGCTGCTGCGCTGCTGCTGCTGCTGCTGCTGCAGCGGCGGCAGCACGGTCACAGCACAGCTGTGTTGCTGTTCGCTGCTGTGGTCATGTATGTGTATATGCAACGAATAGGTGTTCCCTGATGCTGCAACAAGGCCCCTACCTGCATATACACCTGAAGAGCATGCACAGACTGTATGCATACGCGACCCACGATAGAGGCGCATGCATGCATACAATGAAGGGCTAACGAAGAAGAAAGCCCCATTTAATTGTTATTTTATCTTATGCATGCGTCTTTTAATATTAACAGAAGCCAAACGCACTACTTGCATGCATGCATGCAGTGTTTATATAATATAATATTATAATATATTTATATTTATATATATAATATATTATAATAAAATAATATATACTATACCTCCCTAATATATTATACATAAATAGATATTTATTTATGACAAGACATGATGCATGCAAATCTATGCATGCATAGGCGAAGGGGAACACCAACGCCATTATATATACACACTATTATCCTTATTTTCTCCTCTCTCTCCTTCTCCTCCTCCTCCCTCTCCTCCTCCCCTCCTGCTGCTGGAGCAGCAGCAGCAATTCACTGCAGCAGCAGCTGGCAGCTCGTTCTTGCTGCCTTTATAATAAATATATTAAGACCTTTTATTTATTTATATTTATATATTTATATTTATTTATTATTTATTTAGTCAAAGCTCTCCTCGTCATTCTCATCCTCCAGCATTGGGAGGTCGGTGGGGCCGGGGACGGGGAAGAACATACCCAGCAGACTGCCAATTCCTGCAGCTTGCTGCTTCACGAATTCCTGTACACAAACAGCAGCAGCAGCAACAGCAGCAGCAAATGATGATTATTATTGCGGTACCTTAGATGTATAATCCAGCATGGTTAGCAATAGTACAATTACTAGCCAACAAACCCTAAACCCTAAACCCTAAACCCTAAATTCATATTTCCTTGCGGTGTTGTGAGACGTACAAGTGCCTGCACACAACAAAACAATACGCAAATATAATAAACAATAGTAATGGTACTCTACTCATGCTGCTGCTGCTGCTTCTGTTGTCATGTTCAGCTGTTGGGAGGGGAAGCGTGTGTTGCTGCTACTGTTGCTGCTGCTGCTGTCGTTATATGGGTCTCCATGCTTACTGAAACCAACATCTTGGTGCTCTGCAAAAAAAACAAAACATCACATACAAATAAGAGATGATGGGGTGTACGTACACCTCAAGAAGGTCCTATTTCTGCAACATTCAACTATCAGACATCCAAACCCTAAACCCTAAACCCTAATAAAGGATAGGTGTAGAGGGCTTACTTGAGCAATAATACCCTTTGGAGCTTCCTTTTTCTCCCCCTCCTCCTGAATAAAGAAAAAAAAAAGGAAAAAAAATTAATAACATTTTAACGCATGCAAAAAGTTGAACATACACCCCATGCATGCATGCAAAAAGTTGAACATACACCGCATGCATGCATGCAAAAAGCTGAACATACACCGCATGCATGCATAAGCTGCCCATACACTGCATGCATGCATGCATGCATGCTTACCTCCGGGGTTGGCTTCGAAAGCTCAGGGAAAGGAGCAGGATGAAGGAAAGGGATCTCCTTTACTGCCTCATGTACCTCTACCTTTGGTCCTTGTGCTGCTGCAGGTACCAATTCGCTGCTGGTGCCTTCTTCCTCCTTCTTCTCTTTTTCTTCCTCATCTGTTGCTGCTGCTTCTTCTTCTCCTTCTGTTGTTGATGCTTCTTCCTTTTCTTCTTCACCTTTCTCTCCTTCTTCTTCTTTTTCCTCTTCCTTTTCTTCCTCCTTTTCTTTTTCCTTTATTTCTTCTTTTTCTTCTTCTTTTTCTTCTCCTTCCTCACCACTACTTTCTTCTTCCTTTATAGTCTCCATAATAGGCACATTGGTGCTGCTGCTGCTGCGCCTTGTAGGTACAGGGCTGCTGCTGCTGCTGCTGATGATGCTGGGTATAAATACGTCATCCTCCCCCATAGGAGCGCCCTCCATGCCTTCATCACTCCTTGTACTGCCGAACATTAATTCCTCACTACCTTTTTCTTTTTTTTCTTCTTTTTCTTCTTCTTTTTCTTCTTCTTTTTCTTCTTCTTCTCTAGTTATAGGTTCTTCCTCCTTAATGGGTTCTTCTTCTCCAACGGGATTCTCTACTGTTTCTGTTTCTGCTGCTGCTGCTGCTGCTGCTGCTGTTTCTGTTGGTGCTGCTGTTGTTGCTGTTATTGGTTCTTCTCCTCCTAGTACTATAAAGTCCTCATCAGCTACAGAAACTTTTTCTTGTCTTGTTTCTTTCTTTTCTTCCTTTTCTTTTTCTTCTTTTTCTTCTTTTATTGTTGTTGTTGCTGTCTTGAATTCTTCTTCTTGTGTTTCTGCAGAAGAAATATCATCTTCTTTTTCTGTTGGTTCTGCTAGTGCCTGCGGGGTGTACGTACACCACAAATATACACATAAATAATTCAACTTTTTTTTTTTCCTTTTTATTTTATGTATAATTGTATATCTTTAACAAATAAATATATTATATAATTATATTTATAATTATATTATAAATATAATTATATAAATATAATAATTATATTTATAATATAATTAATAATAATATATAGCATACATGCACATACACTATGTTATATAGTAACAAGACAGGAACAGAGAGCACCAAAAGAAGAGGAAAATAAATAAATAAATAAATAAATAAATAAATAAAATAAATAATAATAACTTACCGGTTGTCTTTTTCCTTTAAATAATAAAATTAATAGAAGAATAGTACCAAGAAGAGCAGCAATACCTATTTGTTTATTACGTATAAGTTGTTGTTGTTCTGTGTTATATGTACGTGATAATTGTAAGGAATCATCATACTCATTATAAATATGTTTAATAGGGAAATCAGAGGGTAATAGATGTTCTTGTTCATCATCTGCTGCTGCTCCTGCTGCTCCTGCTGCTCCTGCTGCTGTATCTATATCTGCAGCACCACCTACTACTTCGTTACCTGTATCCATACATATTGCTAATTCCCCCCATAAGGAAGGGAAGAATACAGCAAGAGGAACAAGAGGAATTATATTAGTACGCATTGCTACAACAAGAAAAAGAATTAATTAATTAATTAATTAATTAATTAATTAATTAATTAATTAATTAAAAAAAAAAGAATAAATAAAAAGAAGAATATACAAAAAAGAACGGACTAATAGGAACCGATCCCAAGACGATCCCAAGGAAGGGGAAAAAGAAGAAAAAAAAAAGAAAAAAAAAAAGGGAAGAAAAAAGAAAATAAATAACAATAATATCTACAAAGAATATATATGTATATATATATAATAGTAATAGTAGTACTAGTAGTAGCAACAGCAGCAGCAGCAGTAGCAACGGCAGCAGTGCTCTCTTTTTTCTCTCCTCTCCTCCCTCTCTCTCTCTCTTTCCTCTCCTCTCTCTCTTTCTTATGGATGACGACTGCAGCAAAAGCAGCAAAGAAGGGAAGCAGCAAAGAAAGGAAAAGGGAAAGATGTATATAATTGACAAAATATCTTCATAAGAAAAAGAAAACCTCCTCCGCTGCTGCAGCAGCAGGAGCAGCAGCAGCAACACCAGCCAAGGCAACGGTAAGCAGAGAGAGAGAGAGATACTCCTGTGTGGGCACAACAGCGAGGCGGGGCAGCAGCAGCAGCAAGAGCAGCAGCAGCAGCAGCAACAGCAATAGATTTGCTGCTTCTGTATATACCTATATCTAAATATAAATAATTAAATAAATTGTTATAATAAAATAATTATGATCCTTTTTATTTCCTCCTCTTTTTATGATTATTCAGCAACGATCCATGACCTGAGTATACACCCCAGTGTTACCCGCTCCAGCAGCAGCAGCAGCAGCAGCAGCAGCTACACGGAAAGCTACACAGGTGGCAGCAGCAACAGCAGCAGCTGCTGCCCCCCCCTTCTCCCCCCACCCTCTACTTATTTGATGTATTATTTATAATAATTTAATAATTTAGACATTTAATTTATTTATATATTAATGAATAAAAAGAAAATAATAAACAAAAGAACACAAAAGAAGGAGGATCGTTTATAGATAGAACAACAACACCCATCGCTCTGTACATACACCCCATGAGGGAAAAAAGAAAAAAAAAAAGATAACTAGATTACGTGGTAAATTATATTCTTTTTGTTGCCTCTCTTTTATTTTTTTATTTTATTTATTATTTTTATCCTTTTTCCCTTCAAGATTTATACAAATAGGGAGCTGAATATATTCAGTTTCCCTCCATCATGATAAAGTCGGTGGTCGTCGTCAACACTCAAGGAAAACCAAGAATTGTTCGTTTTTATGATGGAACAGTAAGTTATATTTATTTATATTTATTTATTTTATTTAATTATATACACAATTAAAGAAAATAATTAAAGTGTTTCCCTCTTTTCCCTCTTTCTTCTGATACCTGATGAGATGCTGCGTATACACCTAGATTCAGGTATTACAGTTTTAGGGTTTTTAGCATTTTAGGGTTTAGGGTTTAGGGTTTAGGGTTTAGACCCATGTATATAAACCTTATTTCTTGTCTGATCTGCCTATACACCGCAGCCACAAGAAAAACAACAACATGTAATGAAATCTCTATTTGCTGCTGTTAGCCGAAGACCTAGCGAAGGCTGCTGCTGCTTTACGGAGAATACAGACTTATTTGGTCCTAATCACCGTATTATATACAGGTACTTGCATGCATGCATGCGTGCATGTATGCATGCATGCAGATCTGCTGCTGCTGCTGCTGCTGTATATCTGGAGAACAGCAGCTGGTGTGTCTTCTATGTTTACTGCTGCTGCGGCCCTGCTGCTGCTGCTGCTGCAGAAGTTAATATTTCCTTAACTACTGCAGCAGCGTAAGAGAGACACAGCATCAACAGCAGCAGCAGCAACAGCAGCAGCAGCAACAGCAAGAATACTTGCTGCTACTGTTTTTGCTTCTTTTGCTGCAGACATTTTGCTACTCTTTTCTTTATCTTTGTGACGGATAACCTCGAGAGCGAATTGGGTATACTTGACCTCATACAGGTAAACCCTTTTCTAGGGTTTAGGGTTTAGGGTTTAGGGTTTAGGGTTTAGACATTGGGATTGAGGGTTTGGGCTGAATGCACATATTATGATTCCTGTTATCGCTGCGCTTTGCATTTATTTATTTATTTATTTTATTTATTTTATTTATTTATTTATTTATTTATTTATTTATTTATTTATCTATAGGTATTTGTTCAAGTATTGGATGCATGCTTTGAGAATGTTTGCGAACTTGATCTTGTCTTCCATTATGACAAGGTAAACCCTAAACCCTAAACCCTAAACCCTAAACCCTAATTTTTTATTTTTTTTGTTTCTTATTCTTTATCATATTCTTTTTCTTCTTCTTTTTCTCCTTATCTCCTCTTTTCTTCTCTCTTTTATCTCCTTACTTATAGCCAACTAGCTATAGTTATCAGGAATTAGGGTTTAGGGTTTAGGGTTTAGGGTTTAGGGTTTATGGATGTGTATTATTGCAGATAAATTATATATTAGATGAAATAATTGTAGGAGGTAAGAAACTTAATAATTAATTAGCTCCCTATACACCCCAATAATAAGCAAATAAATATATTTATTTATTTATTTTTTATTTATTTATTTATTTATTTATTTAGGGTTAGTGATGGAGACAGGAGTGGATAATATTCTTGAGGCCGTCAGCGGAGTTAAAAAGTTAGTGGACTCAGAGACCTCTTTCTTCTCTTAATCTTTTGGGGCTGCATGCAGATGCATGCATGCATGCATGCATATATATGCATGCATGCAGATGCATGCAAATGTATGAATATATAGTTGCATGCATGCATGCAAATGCATGCAAGAGTTCTTATTTCCTCTTTTTTTAGGGTGTATTTTATTCTGTGGGGTGGGTATACACTGCAGCAGCAGCAAGAATGCAGCAGCATGCAACTTGCATGCATGCATGCAACTGCATGCAGCTGCATGCATGCAACTTGCATGCATGCATGCATGTTTGTTTTTTGTCTTTGTTTGTGCCTGTCTTATTGGCATATTCTTTCCTTACGCATAATATATATAGCCCATTAGGGGGGGAAAGAATAAATAAATAAAATAAATAAATAAATAAATAGATAAAATAAATAAACGGGGCTTTTTCTTGTTTTTGAGTGTACAGACACCTGCAGCAGTTTTTTTTTGTGCTGCTTTCTTTATTTGTACTATTTGTATATTTCGGGTGTATAGGCAGCCCGTGTATTATTAAGAAAAAAGAATAAAAAAAATTCTTAATTATTAATTAAATAATAAATTAATTGAGTTATTATTACTTGTAGCATTAAATAAATATAAATTTATTCTTCCTTTTTCTTTTTTTATTTTATTTTATAGTAAACCCTAAACCCTCAAACACTAAACACTAAACCCTAAACAACAGAAACACCTAAGGGGGAATTGTCTTAATTATATTCATTAATTAGCAAATATATAATATATAATAAATATATTTATTAATAATAATATATATAATAAATATAAATAGTATAAAAGAAAGGAAGAGGGAAATATATAGCTGCCTAGACACCCGATTAGCAGCGAGGAACAAAAAGGCAATAAAATAATTCCTTTATATAAATAAATCTTCCTTTTATTATTATTAAATATATTTAATTGCATTTTCCTCCTTTTTACCTGCCTATACACCCAACTTACGCCTCCCTCTTGTTGGTTGCTGAAGTGTTGCAGCAGCAAGAGCAGCAACAACACACACATCACTAGCAGCAGCAGCAGCAGCAGCAATTAGCAGCAGCTTATATCAATAAAAAAGGAATAAATAGATAAAAAATAAATTAAATAATTTATTAATTGTTTTTTTTGTATTAACAATTAAAATAAATA